GGGGGGATAGAAGGGAAGGATGGATGGAAACCGAAAAGATATCATCTCGTGGCCAATCCCATTTACGGCTGGTTCTTTATTTACGACGCTAATACCAACGCAGACTAAATTCCCAAGTTGCGAATCAGACTTCAGACTACGCGACGACCGCAAGCCGACTGTACGAGTCAGCCACCGACCCCTTGCGAAACTCTGCAGATGGAATTCTGTATTAAAGGCATAACTCAGGGTGTACTCTTCCTGCGTCTTGTGAGCACTTGATATGAGAGTTTGGTATGGATGTTCCTTATCCGCCCTGAGCCCAACCCCCTTGTATCATTGCCAGATATCCATCTGTTTAAAAATATTTTGATTTGCGTCTGAATCCATCCTCTTAGGTGCGTCGAGGTTTTTTAGCATGGATTTATGAGAACCCCCGGGGTGCCTGTTGGGGTTGGTGCATCCCTGCGGTTCTTGCGACAGGTCGATAACGTACTGAGCACGTGTCTAATGAGTCTGAAATTAATGCATTTTACTCGTCCCCCTTTATGTTGACTGTGATATCGAGAGGAAATTCAGCGAGCCGAAAATGTACGGGGATGGTTACCCTTGTGGTATTTTTGAGTTTTAAATGGCATGCGCAACCCTTTTCTGTTTTTTTTTTGTTTTAATTCTTTTGTTTGCAGTTTCATCATCTCTTGCTACCTCAGAAGCTCTACGATTAGCGCTCTGGTTTTCTTTGTCTTTTCTTTCTCTCTTACTTCTTGTCTCTCTCGTTCCGACGATTTTTTTTTTACAAGCCTTTGTTGCCTTTCGGATCGAGAACAGAGAACGATCAGAAACGCCGAACGGCAGAAACGTACCGAGCGATATGAGCAACGGCGTCGACGTCGACGTCGAAAATAGAACGTCGAAAGGCCACCCAGAGTTCATCGGGTCGAATCGCTTTTATATCTGCTGCATTTGAAAGTTAAAGAGAAATGTGTCGCCGGCGCGATATAACCCGTCCCCAATTATCTTGATTTCATTTGGAAATGGTGCAAGCGGAAGCTAGAGGGTGACGTAGAATCGATTGATCTTTCGGTCGTCTCTATAAATACTCAAATTTAACGGGGATACTGAATACAATTTTTTCTTCCAACAAACAAGAAGAATACAAATCTATT